CAGCAGGGATGCGCTTTGAATTAAAGCGGCCGCAGAAACAAAAAAAAATCTCCCTAACAAATAAACTCAAATTAATGTACCCAGCACAACCCGCCTGAACATGTGGTGAGGACCGCACCTTGCTTGCGCTCGCAATTGACGGCGCATCCCAGGACGAGTTGCAGCAGCCTGCCCAGCTCCGCGGGGTCCGAGTGCTCGGCAACCAGGGCCACGTCGGGCAGAGGGAAGTCGGAGAGCCCCTGGCCCAAAACCTAGTAGAGTGAGTGAGTTACACGAAGCACAAAATGCTGAACTTTTTCCCCCCCGACAGCCTGGAGACGTGATTACATAAGCGCATACCAGACTTGATCCGAGCTTTTTTAGCCACAATGCACACTGCGTTCTTTCTTGTGCATCTTGCTAACAACACAACGACGCCGCCTCATTGGACATACAAACACAATGAACGAGATGAGGAGGCGCTGAAGGACCTTTCCGGCCTACCTCGTTGTAATACTCCAGCACCATCTGCAGGATCTTCTTCAGGTTGTTCAGCTATGGGGGTCACGAACACAGAGTGCAGTGTTAAAATGGAAGCGGCAGCAGCGCCCCCCGGAGGATGTGAGGAGTGACGCACAGAGAAGATGATGGAAGAAGACGAGAGGGCTGTTCTCTACCTTCAGCCTCCAGTTGTCATCCACGTCCGTTTTGATGCGAGCGAGCCATCCGTCAGTGAACCATGACGGGTCTCTGCATGACACACATGGCGCTGTGTCGTTAAACACTGCGTCAATCACTACAGTGGATTCTGTCTTTTTTTTTTATTTTTTTTATAAGATGCCACTTACAACAAAAACTTGTTTATTCAAGGTTCTTTGTGCTTTTTCTAAAACGCCCTAAATGTGACAAAATGCTACCAAAGCTAAGTAGTAACTGAGTCAAGGAAGGATGTTTGGAAGTATGCAGACGTATGCAGAAGCTCTTCAGTAAACTGCAACAAAATTAGCCGTTCTTCACAGAGGATGAAGAATATATGCCCGTGAGCAATGTTCTATTGTCTTGTCTCCGTGCTCTACTATTTGTGTTCGGATTGCCGATGCCTGAAGGGTGATAACGCCGCAAAATAGGTGCTAACTTGTTTATGCCATTTTGCATCGTTGGCTAGCATCAAGCTAAGCGTAGTTTGCTAAGGCAAAGCCATGAGCTTGTTTTGAATTTGAATGTGAGTCTGTTTGCGGTATTCTCATTTTGTAATGTCCAGTCACTCATATCTCAAGCCCCCTACTGTAACTTAATAATACCAAACTTATTTAAGTCGAGTATATTCTACAAAATCAATGCAAATAAAGTTCCTTTTGTTCATCCGTGCTGCGAGGTGATCCATTACTTTTATTAGAGGTATTTCCGGGCCACAACTCATAAATTTGTCGGAGAAGGTGTGTGCCTGTGCACAAGGGTGTGTTCCTGTGTGTCTCCTCACATTTGCTGGAGAGCCTGTGATATGGCAGCACCGGTGGTCAGGTCCTCTACTGTTGTGCACGGCGCAGAGGTGTTGAACGTCTGTAACTGAAGGGGGAAAAAAAAAAATGTAATAACGTGCTAAATGTTTCCGCAAATAATACCGCCAATTATAGTCTTATCTAATAGGTTGGCCTACTTTGGGCTGCTGTTGCTTAAAGAAACCGTTCACGATAATGACTTAATTAGATGGATGTTGTCCCTTGTCTGCTGGTTAAACAGATTAGAGTTCTAAATGCATTCATGTGGTGATCGATAGGCCAAGTGGCTAAACTAAGAAGTCTGAGTGAACTTGAGATTCCTCACACACTTACCAGTTTAATGGGCTCTCCAAAAGAAGCCTCTTGGACCGTGGAACAAAACCTTACCTTTTAGAGTCAAAAGAATTTCACCAGACCAAAGCGCTTAGGAGTTTCATTTGACCACAATATTTGTTACTGTGTTAAATACAATTTTATTTAATATAAAAAATACTAGCGGTATCAATACTCTGTATCAGTGTGCACTCAAAGAGTGAATACTCATACTTGTATTGGTTTGGAAAAAAAAGTGGTATCCAACATACTTTAAATTTCTCACACCATTTAGCTAAATCTTAAAAAAAACAAAAAAAAAAAACAATGAAAACTAACTATTATTGAATTTGACGAGTTTAAAATGTAACAGCCTCACAAAACAGATGTGCTCGAACTTGAAATTTCTTACAAATCTCAATCCTAAAAACACTTGTTGACAAAAGAAATGTTCAGACAAGCCATTAAGCCCCCGGGGTCTCCAAACTGGCAACCTTTGTTTACATTAACTGTCACACGTGACCTCCCCGTAAGCTAATACAAGTCGATACTCACACTAATTACGGTTAAACACAACTTGAAAAAAAAAACGCGATGACGGTTGAAAATTTAGTTATTATCTGACGCTTATTTACTTTAGTGACGTATTTTTATCGAAAAGCCCAACCACCTCCGAACAGGTGTTGCCTGTTGGCATCGACTGGTTGTCACACAGCGTAGGTGCCCTGCAAAAAGAAACGTCAAAACTCACCCATATTATGAGGCTTTCAACCAAAACCGTTTTGCTCTCGTCCATTTCCCCCGACAAGGCAGATAAATACATCAACTACGTCCTCCCCACCTGTCCGTCCGCTCCTTTTTCACAAACCCCCCGCACTTTTTTTCTTTGCTTTTGACCTCACCTGCTGTCGAGAGGTAAAGCTTTAACGCCAATTACGTAGGAATGGTGGAAGTAACGGTCGCTCCGCCACAAATGACGTAAAAAGAAAGGTGGATATCATATCCACTCTTTCGTCTTGTTTTCCAAGGTTTATACGCGCTGGCGGCGTATCCAATCAGCGTCGTGACGCTGGAAGATTGACGGCCGCATAAACCAATCGGGAGACAAGAGTCTTTATTTATTTTAAAGGGCCAGAATAAATTAAAACAAAAAGTATTAGCAATTTAATGAATGAAGAATTATGCATATGTGCTGCTTGAGAATCGAATAAAATACAGATAATCATCATTTTATCTTTTGAAGTATTATGTGGCATGGCACGTATTTCCGCTTTCTGATAGTCCCTTTTCAAAAGGCTCTCTCATAAAAAAGCATTAAGAGAAATGAACCATTCTGTCATAAAATTGAATCGAAAAGACTTTTTGAGGTACAGGATTTCACACGATAGGGACACAATTTACAAACACAAAAGTTACATTTGATAGGTCAAAAACTTCACCAAATAAGCCTAATGGACTTGAAACTTATTTTATTTCTATGATCATGTTCACACAACTTGGTACAATTCGACGTGCTATATATGTTAGCATCTGCTTGGTAAAATTAACATACGTACGTACAATAAATGCTATTTTATTAGTTGTATTGTTTTATGACAGGGCGTAGTAGTTTTCCTAAATCATAGAAAGTTCCGTTTCCTGTACTGTGGTCATCAGACACTCTTTATCTAGGAATGTCCCCCCCTCCCCACCAAAAAAAAAAAAAAAAAAAAAATCAAAGCACACATAATCATGTGATGTTTAATGATGATCCAAGACTGGACTTTGGTGCAGCAGCTTTTCTCTTGCTGTGAGAGCGCCTGGCTTTTTTATCTTGCATCCAAGACCCTGACCCCCATCAACCTCTGCCCACGCTCCCCGCCCACTCCCTCACCGAGTGCTATTTTTAGATGACCTGCAGCGTGTGTAGTGCTTCTCAGTGGAAGGTGAGGCGAGGAGCCAGAACCGCGTCAATATTTGCTAGGGCAATTCCCACAGGACTTGAAATTTCTCACACGTCCAATTTGGTGAACTCTACAAAAGGCCGGTTGGATGATGTCACTTCACCAGATGGAGGAAATGATACAAAGCTAAAAAGTTACATTTATGAGGCCAAATGTCTAAGTCTGATTGACTTGAAATTTCTCACACAGGTTTATCTCAATGTGCTCTACAAAAAAATAAAATAATTAAAAAAAAAGCCCCTTGGATCATGGCACTTTCACCAGATGGAGTGGTTGATAATAACATCAAAAGTTCAATTAATAAATCAAGTATAAAACGTAAAAGTGTGATTGACATATTTCTCAAACACCATCTGCTCTAAAATGCTTATTTCACCGTAGAAGTATTATTGTGGGTGGCCCGGTGATCCAGTGGTTAGCGCGTCGACATCACAGTGCAGAGGTACTGGGTTCAATTCCAGCTCCGGCCTCCCTGTGTGGAGTTTGCATGTTCTCCCCAGGCCTGCGTGGGTTTTCTCCGGGTACTGCGGTTACCTCCCACATTCCAAAAACATGCATGGCAGGCTGACTGAACACTTTAAATTGTCCCTAGTGAGTGTGAGCATGGATGGTGATTCGTCTGTGTGTGCCCTGTGATTGGCTGGCAACCGGTTCAGGGTGCCCCGCGCCTACTGCCCGAAGACGGCTGGGATAGGCTCCAGCACCCCCCGCGACCCTTGTGAGAATAAGCAGATCGGAAAATGGATCGATGGAGTATTACTGTTACCAAGCCCCAAAGATGCAAAGTTGAAAAATTCACACATCACGAAAAAAAAAAAAAAAAGAAATCAGATTAACTTGCAATTTCAAACGCAAATGCAATTCAAATGTCTTCAACAACAAAAAACTTTGGACCATACAATTTCTAAATCTTAAAAGTAACACTCGATAGGCAAAGTGAAGCGCGACGGAAATTTTTTTACACAATTCTACCCAATTCCAATGACAAAGACTCTTAAATAGTGGAATCTGGTTGGATGGAAACACAGTTGCTAAGCTCATGAGTTAAATTTGGCCTTAAGTGCCTCATCTATGTTTATTTTCGTGGTATCATAATGAGGTAGAATGGCGCGTTTGGTCAATAATTGTCCAGGTCAACTCTAGCCTACGTTAACGTGGGCCTGCTTTAGTATTGCTTCAACCTGCTGCAGTCGTGTGACCAGCGTTGGAATGCGCATTTCGTTTTATGGCTTGCGGGAATGTTTTTCCGCGTTCATTGGCTTACCTGACCAGCGGCGTTTTAGATGAGTTCAAGGAGTGACTGCTCGTACCACACAAAGCCGGAGAGTGGAACCTGGTTGATGATTAACAGGCAGATGTCATTTAGGCCGCAGCGCCTTGCCGGCGAGCCGCATTTCACTTCCTCCTCGCCAGCCTTCACTATGAACGCCTGTCGCAACTCCAAGATCAGGTCAGGTCAGACACTTGGCACGGCATCCAGCAACTCTTTTCAGTTTCAGTGGGATGTAATTGTGCTACAGACGGTCTAAAATATTGTTATGTTGGAATAGGGATGGGCAACTTAAATGATGGAGGGGCCACAATTATTCATCCGCACTACTGGCGGATTGTTCGCGTAGGACCGTGCACTTCCTAAAAATATGCATGACAAAAATGCCTTTTTGAAAACGTACAAAATCTGTGCATACAGTATGTCTGTTTGTTACTGAAGATAAATAGTAAATTTGATGCTCAGTGCACGTATGAAAGATGCAGCTTTTAACAACAAAGGGTTTAAACAATCCAAAAATAACCGCATACTGTGATTTTTTTTTTCTTCCCTCGTGCAATTGGTGCTCAGGCATAAAAAATCCCATTCAAGGACGGCACAAAACTGATGAACAGCAAACCAATATTTAAGCGCAAGAACTAATTTTGTTAAGAACAATGCAGAAAATGTTCAAAAATTGCATTTGCAACCATAAATCCGGAGTAGGGCTGAACATTTAATATGATTCAAATCTACATTTAACCTTTATTTTATCAGGTAGGTCAATTACGAACAATTTCTCATTTATAATAACGGCCTGGCCAAGAAACCCCAGAAGAGGCAAAATTTGGTTTGGCATATACGAAAGCCAAGCGCTTCAAACTTTCATATGGTAACTTCGCAAAATGTGAAACTTTTTCACGTGATTTATCTTTTTTTTTTTTTACCCCAGTGTGGCAGCAATATGCTTCCGTATATATTGACGTTCACTTTTGTTTGATACGCTAACAAAAGCAAATTTACTTAAGTCCTTCGACATTTCTTAAAGTCTTTTAACCATTCCAATTTCAAAATGTTGAGGTCATTCAGTAAATCTTAAGAACTGTTGATCAAATCCAAATTTAAACCAATTTTAATATTTACATCCTCTTTCCACATTTCTTGACCTATTCAAACCATCCTAACTTGAAATTATTCAGATCATTCGGAACATCTTGGAAGCTATTTTCCCAATAATTCCCACACTTCCAAAATTCTATACTTCGCATCATAAAATTCACAAATTAAGCGAGGTTTGATATATTCATCTCTTCCTTCCGCATTTCTTGAACGTTCCAAAGTATTTCAACTTCCAATCTAACACTTCACATTTAAAAGACATATTCAACAGCATTTCACTTTGGCTTTGCAGTATTTACCAGCAATTTCCACCGTATTTCCATTCTCGACATTCTTAAAAAAAAAAGAGTGACGCTTTAAAAGGGTAGATGTAGTCTGTGACTGTTCTTATCACAGCCATCAGATTTGAAAGCGACATGTGTTTACCTTGGCATTTTGTCACATTACAGATGGCGCCGTCTTCCTTCTCAAGATCCAAAGGGTCAGGGTCACCCGGGTTCGCCCCAAGGCCAAAGGCCGCCGCTGCTGCTGACCACCAGCAGCATGGTAAGAATTTCATCACTTCATATTTGACTTACGGTTTGCTGTCAAGCTTCCTTTGGATTCTTCCCCCCCCCCTATTACGGATTTGCAATGCTTCCTGAAATATGTTTAGTTTAGTGTACGTGTCAGATGTACATATGCCAGATGAGGGACCAAGATGCATGACAAGCATACAAAGTTGTAAAACCAATTCTGCCGCTCCCTTTTATTGTAGCCTTAACATGGCCATATTTGTGTTTCACCCCCCCCTATCTACTTCCTGCTTCATGTCCTTTTATTATTGCTGGTGCAGGAATGTCCGCCGTCGTGTCCATTGACGAGTCAGCGAGAGCGACATTGTCCAGTGTGCCTGCAGGTGGCCAGCTTCCCCGTGCAGACCAACTGCGGCCACTTATTCTGCGGTATGAGTGCACGGGCAGATTGGATTTATTTAACGCTGCTTAGGTGTGAACGTGAGTGTCAGGGTTTGTTTTTGTGTGTGGATGTACCCCGCCTCCCGCTCCAGCTCACATAGTGAGGATAAACGCTGGAAAGAAAATAAAAAGGATAGAAGAAAAATGTATTCCAATTTAGTTTCCAAAATTAGCCCAGCAACTCTCGTTGAGATTTAGGACATTTCTTGTTCATGTTCTTCAAGAAGGAAAGATGATGGCCGATTGGGATCCAGCGGCTGTTTGTTAATGCAAAATGGTTGTGTGTCACACATTTGTGTGTTTAATTCATCAGGGTGACGCATGTGGTCGAGGGGGCCATCTGTTCACTGTTTAATGACTAACTCTTATCAGCTGACTCGACTGCTCTGATGGGCAAAATATTCATCTACAGTTTGTGATGTTTTACATTATCATTTTATTTGCAGTATTTGAATGCTTGTATTTTTTTTCGCATTTGTATTTTTTTTTTAGTTTTACTTTTATGTTGTTGGTAAAATAGATTTTGCTTTTTTTTAAAAAAAATTTTCAAAAGGAGAAGTCAAGTCAAAATTGTTCCAGACACTAACATGTTCTAAGTGGCCCCACTAGTTCAAATACAATATTCTGAATAACATTGCATTTGTAGAATATGACTGAAGCGGCAAAAGCAGTTTTCATGCATCTCAGCGGACTTGCTGTCGACTGAAAATGACATCACAGTTGCTCAGGGCTCCGAATGATAAATCACAGCTCATTTTGGGAATATCACATGACCAAACCTCCAAAAATTGGTTATCAGTAATTGGTCGTTACCTGACCCTGGAGCAACTGTGATGTCATTTTCAGTCAACAGAAAGGGACAAAATGGCCGCCTCTTGAGATGGATAAAAACAGGTGTATTTTGCGACTTTGTTCATATTCTACAAACATAATATCAGAATGCTGTGTTTTGACTAATAGAGCCACATTAACCATATTATTTTGCTAGAAAAATATTGACTTAACTTCCCTTGACTTTTAAGTTAAATTTTACTTTTATACAATTTTTAAAAATCATTCCAATACATTTATTTTATTTTTCAATCATTTTTACATTTTCATTTTTTCCCCCTGGTTTTCAGCTCCATGTTTGATCGCCTATTGGAGGCACGGGACATGGTTGGATGCGGTCAACTGCCCCCTCTGTAGACAAAAGGTACTAAACTCCATTGGGTGTTTCGATATATGGTGAACTCTCACTATTTGTGGGGTCTAGTGACCGGAGCCTGCAGCCACTCTCGAAAATCCAGCGATAAAAGAGGGTTGGATTTGCATACAGCATCAACGCCATAGTTCTAACAGGTACACGATCATGAACCCATGTTACATAGACATCTGTATTCAGTAGTTAAATCATTCAACACAAACAAACCACCGTTATGTGTCCTAGTTAGCTTAAATTTTGGCATTTACTCAAATCCAGTGATGAACTCAATTTAACAACACTAAGATTCCGCCAGATGGTGCCAAAGGAAAACTTTTATTGCTTAAATAAGGTCACATGGAGGATAGGTTTCGCACAAAAATCTGCAATTATGCAAATTCACAAATATGTGGGGGTTCACTGTACACAATACAGTCTCTGTGTTTGTGTGAATGGAGTGAAAAAGTTCAAATTCAAGTTTCTACTCAGGTTAGCGTCATGTGTCAGTTGTTTAATGAGAGCCGACCGGACCAGCAGTCCAAGGACGTTCTGGGCCAGATAAGTGACTACAACAAACGCTATTCTGGCGCGCCCAGACGGGTCAGTACACCCTTAAACGCCAACATCAAAGAAAACTGAGAAAATCCTTTATTTTTTTTTTTAAATGTAGCAATTTGTTTTACTATCAATCTTTAATTATATTTTTTCGTCTCAAATTTGACTTTTTTTTAAAATGATTTCCATTTTTATTAATTTTGGTTTTATTTTTTTTACTTTGCAATTTCTAAACATTTTTTAAAGATTCATCTGTTGAAAAATACTTTTTTCTTATTTTAAATTGTACTTATTTAGTAATTTTCATTTCTGTTTTGTTACATATTTGACTTTGATTTTGAAATGTCTTCTGCACAAAAGCATGTTTCCAGATTATTTTATTTCATGTAACCACTTGACAAAATAGAGTAATGTACTTAAAAACAAGGGCATTTGTAATTTTTATTTTCAAATTATCATTCTTATTATTAATTAAAAAAAAATGTTGATCATGTTTTTTTGGGCTATAGGCATACATATTCTATTGTATTTTTAAAAGGAATTTCCACTTACATCATTTGTGACGATGCTACATTCTGTTTCCAGATCCGAGACTACCTGTCAGACGCGCCCATCCTCCTGCAGCTGGCAGTCCGTGGGTCAGGGACCCCGGGGGGTCTCGTGTGGCTCTTCTTCTTGCGGGTGGCATTGTGTTGCGCGGGTACCGCCGTCTCCGTGGCCTACCCGCCAACACCATCAGGTTCGCTGAAAACATCCCCGACCCTCTGCGGCCTCTTGGGGCTGCTGGACGACCTGGTGGTGGTAGTCCTGCTCCTCTTGTGCGTCCTCAACGTCAATCATCAGATGGCGCCGGGGAGAGGGCGCTCGGCCGGTGCCAGAGCTGTGGCCAGCTAGAACATTCAAGCATTTCCAAAACATTATAGACACTAAGTAATCTGCATTTTCCTAATTTGGACTGAACATCCCTGTATATATAATGTATACTGTTTTTAATGTGTCAAATAAAATATTTATTTTGTTTCTATTAAATCCAAAATGTTTCTAATACTTTCACAATGGTTCCTAAAGTGAGGAATGGCTTTGTGGATGGATTATTATTATTGAATTTCTTTGGATTGTGGCATTTTTTTAGACTCTTTAAGATCTGTTGACTAACTTAATTTTGTCAGAAAGGTTCTAATTAGTTCACTTATTGATGGAACAGGCCTCGAAGTAATCAGGCTTCAGTCTATTCAGGTGATCAGAGAAAATGAACTCACCAAATTTTCCAGTTTGATGTTTCATATGTGTTCTTCATGTGGCATTCCTCTTCCCTATTCAATAATAAAATGTTGCGATATTGTTGTGAGTAGTTTAATGATTCAAAATCAAAATCTCATTTTTATGCCCCCCCCCAAAAAAAAAACAAAACCAAAAAAAAAAAAGTGAAAAAGTACAGCAGTAACATTAAGGGAAGAAAAATGGTGATCTCAGCATTATTGGCTGCACCAAGCGGCGGCGTTGCGGAACATGCGCAGCCAGGGAGACATCTCCAGCTGCGGCCTAAAGCTGCGGGGCGCCCACGGCCACTGCCAGCCCAGCGTGCATCGCTCCGGGTGGGGCATCATGGCCAGGTGCCTGCCGTCCCTGGAGCACAGGCCCGCCACGCCCCGCGGCGAGCCGTTGGGGTTCAGGGGGTATTCCTCGGTGGGCCGGCTGTCGTCATCCAGGTAACGGACCGGCGCCAGGCCAGCTGAGGTGATGTCATCCAGAACCTGGGCGTTACGGAACTGCATCAAACCTACGGAGAAAAAAAAAAAATTGTGAAATTGTGAAGGCTCAATGGATCAAGCGCTTGGTCAGTGACGTACCTTCTCCGTGAGCCACCCACACGCCCAGAGCCGAGCCCTCCATGCCAGCCAGCCACACAGACGGCGAAGCCTGGATCCCCACGGTTACAAAGCGAGACTCGAATCTGCCCGACTTGTTGTGGGTCAGAACCACGTCGGAAGCTGGAGGACGGACATATAAACATGTTGAAATATCAACATTTTTTCCAAGGCAAATTGCATATTCTTCAATGGTCATGTTGAGGGCCCAACAAACAATACCAGAACCCGAGTAATTAATCGTCTGATATTAGTCCTTTCCAAAGTGTGACGCACAGCAGTTTATCTCACCTGCGCCATCTTGGCTCTCTCCCACCCAGCCCAGTAGAGCGAGCAGTTGGCAGCCGTTGCACACGCCCAGGCTCAGCGTGTCGGCCCTTCGCCGGAAGCGGTCAAACTGGGCTTTGGCCGCGGCGTTGTAGGCCACAGTGGCGGCCCAACCTTTGGCCGAGCCCAGCACGTCGGCGTAGCTGAAGCCTCCCACGAACACAACGGCCCGGAACGGCTCCAGCGTGACAGCAGCAGAGCACAGGTCCTGCATGGTCACGTCCCATACCTACAAATCAGCGGAGAGAGAGAGGAAAAAAAGTGATGCATCGACTGAAGGATAATTTGTAAACAGAAGCCATATTTGAATAAAAATGTTCTTGGTGAATCGAGGTTTGGGTGCGATGAGAAGAGCGCAAACCTCAAATCCCGCCATGTGGAGAGAGGTTGACATCTCTCGATCGCCGTTGCTGCCTTCCTCCCTCAAAACAGCCACGCGAGGCTTCACCGCTGCTCCAACAAAACATGCAGCATTAAAGGTGCAACTATTACTCGACAACTAATCGATTATCAAATGCTAATTATTTTGATAAACCTTTGGAGACCTTGTTTTTTTTTTTAAACTGTCAAAAGCCTCAGAATTTTATCTGAATAAATATTCTCCAGTTTCTTATCATCTTTGTGTTGAATCAAATTATTTTTTTTCCCAGCATGAAATCATTTTAAGATATTCAATGATAGGCTACGCATGGCCACATATGGACTATTTGTTGGAGTAAACTGTCCAGCTGTTTCTTTTTCTCCCCAAAACTTATATATTATTATTTCACTCGTTTTTTCTTTATCACTTAAATAAGTGCCGAATTTTACATACCCATTAAACTTTTTTTAAACCTTACCGATGAAAATATATTGTCACTTGAAAAAAAAAATATACCTTAAACATACACCTAAAAAAGAGGGTCCCCACTTTATAATTAAATTTAAAAAAAAAAAAAACTACTCAGACTTTTACTGATGCCTGGTCGATGTGTCGAGAACAGGAAGATGTTAGCAAAGTGATTCTGTCAGCAAGCCTGACATTTTACAAATACTGCTGCGATGAATACATTTTGCCAATTCCATCTGACATTTGGCGATTTAAGTGGGGTCCACCCAAGACTGGCTGCCAGTCAATCTCACGGCACATAGGAACAAAGTATACCACTCACATTCTTATCTATGGACAACTGAGTCTGAAATGAAACCAAAACCCAGATTGGGTGCTCGTTAGTCTTACCAGGCTGTTTGCAAAGGGGAATCTCAGACGGGTCGAAGGTCACTTTAAAGGTAGGCTGCGTCCTCCTGGCAAGCCCCTCCTCTTCCTGTTGAACGCAGAGCTCGTCGGCCTGCAGGCGCTCCAGCTGGAAGCTGGTCTCCTCCCACAACGCTCGGAGGACGGGCAAGCGTTCCCTCAGCACTTCTTGTCCGTCCACGCGCACCGTCACCTGAAGAAGGTGCAGTGAAGTGAAGATGAACAGACAAGAGGGAGGAGATGAAAAGGATGAGGATGAGGTCTCACCATGGCTTCGGGGCCGAAGCCACTGGTTCTGCCGATGCGGTGACACTCGACGCCGGCGTCAAGGAATCGGCGACGCACGCTTTCTTCATCGACCTCGGACACCTCCAGAAGCAGACCCAACTCTTCGGCGAAGAGCAGCTCAATGACTGCAACAAACGATGGAGACACTTCATTAGGGACACTTTCAAAACGTTGACCAATTAAGATGCAACCTTGAATGCACATCGCCATCCAATAAGAGAGCAGCATCGAGAATGCTTTTAAAAGCGGGTCTCCCCAAACCACGATCAAAGTGTTCTTAATACTCATAGATGCGAATGAAGTGGCCATCGCCCACACCTCCCGGGGCTCCCAGGGACGGCACATCCAGGTCCACGCCACGGTTTCCAGCAAATGCCATCTCTAGTACGCAGGAAATGAGACCTCCGTCGCTGATGTCGTGTCCTGCGCTCAGCAGACGATCTGAAAGAGGGCACGTTGCGTGACATGACTTTTTCATTTTATAATTATTTATTCTGTCTCAAATCCTATTTTACTTACATTTCCATTTTAAAAAAACTATTTCAAATCTATTGTTTGATTTGATTATGTTAAACATGAAATGACTTATATTTTTAATCAAATTGCCCGCAAATCATACACATTTACAATTTCAATTAAATATCGAATAATTACATTTCGATTTGCCCTCGGTACAAAACTAACCTTTTATTTATGTATCGGTTCTACAGATGGTTTACATTTGATGAAAAAGTCAGGACAAAATGATGACTTTCAAATTGGAAACTGACCACTGATTAGCATCTGAGTGGCGTTGAAGCAGGCGGCCAGGAGTTGTGGCTGCTCCATGTCAGGAGAACAATCTCCCAGCTGAGCGTAGCACTGAGCTAGCGCCGAACCTCCCAGACGGTGCTGGCCCGGGCTGAGAGGAACCCACAGCAGCACGCCTGCAGACACGAATCAAGAGTCAGAGCTGGAACAACTCAATAGATATGTGTGTGTGTGTGTGTGTGTGTGTGTGTGTGTGTGTGTGTGTGTTACCTTTGCCATGTGGATCCTCAAGATCAGGCGTGATCGTGGCACTGATGTCTGGACACACGGCATAAGCCGAGATAACCAGAGCTCCTGAAACATAGTTAAGCACTTAAAAAATAATAATATATGATATCTTCGCTATTAACGTTTGTTTGCTGTTGTGTGAGTGGAACAATGCCCATTAGCGCCCCCTTGCACACATTTGCAAGCATACCTGGAGCTTTGACAGTCTCCTTCCCCACGCGTGCGGCCATACTCAGCGAGTCCTTGCCGCCGTCAATGGCCACACCCAGCTCCCCCATCACCTTGCACATAGCTCGGCACGACTCCCAAAGGAGTAGCACTGAGCTAGCGCCGAACCTCCCAGACGGTGCTGGCCCGGGCTGAGAGGAACCCACAGCAGCACGCCTGCAGACACGAATCAAGAGTCAGAGCTGGAACAACTCAATAGATATGTGTGTGTGTGTGTGTGTGTGTGTGTGTGTTACCTTTGCCATGTGGATCCTCAAGATCAGGCGTGATCGTGGCACTGATGTCTGGACACACGGCATAAGCCGAGATAACCAGAGCTCCTGAAACATAGTTAAGCACTTAAAAAATAATAATATATGATATCTTCGCTATTAACGTTTGTTTGCTGTTGTGTGAGTGGAACAATGCCCATTAGCGCCCCCTTGCACACATTTGCAAGCATACCTGGAGCTTTGACAGTCTCCTTCCCCACGCGTGCGGCCATACTCAGCGAGTCCTTGCCGCCGTCAATGGCCACACCCAGCTCCCCCATCACCTTGCACATAGCTCGGCACGACTCCCAAAGGAGTGCCCCCTCGCCAGGGAGCTTGGCAGCCCACATCCAGTTCCCACTACACTTTACATCCTATGAAGCACACACAAAAAAATTGCTCCAGAAGACAGAAAGTAGAACAGTACCTTGACTTACAAGTACCGTGGACTCCAAATGAAAGTTTTTTTCAAGTTCAGAGCTTGTTTGATGTTTTTGTTGTGAAATTGACTGTTTGTTCTGTTCTATAAATGGCTGAAAGTGACAGTCCTACTCGTCCTTTCAATGTCCCACTGTATTGTTTAGTCATGCCGAGGCGTCTGCTCACCTTTAGAGCGGTGACTCTTGCAAACATCAGGTTTGTGAGCGCTTCGCCAACCGCCATGCGAGCGCCTGCCGCCGCATTCACCAGCGCTTTGACTGGCTGCTCGCCGATGGCTGTCGCTGCCCCCTCCAGGCCCAACGGTGACAAAGCCACCACGGCCACATCTGCCAATGGCGTGTGAAGGGGGCCCACACACTGTTGCTGGGCCACCAATCCCGTCACGGATCTGTCCACCTGTAAAAAGCACCGCAAGTCACAAAGGATCAGGGATCAATTTATTGATTTTATTTTTAGTTGTTTTTTCTGTGTTATCTTGTGTGGTGCTACTCGCAATTAATTTCATCACATGAAATAATGGATTAGGGTTGGGAGAAACAAAAACTTGATTAAATCAGATTCGTAGACCACA